TTTTTTTTTTTTTTTTTGAGTTGGAGTCTCACTCTGTTGCCCAGGCTGGAGTACAGTGGCACACTCACAGCCAACCCAGCGCTGACCTGCTGGACTCTGGCGATCCTTCCACCTCAGTCTTCCAAGTCTGGCTAATTTTTAAAAATTTTTTGTAGAGACAGGGTCTGGCTACATTGCCTGCTAGTCTCAAACTCCTGACCTCAAGCGATCCTCTCACCTCAGCCTCCCAAGTAGCTGGGACTATAGATGCATACCACAACAACCAGCTAACTTTTTTTTGTAGAGACGGGATCTTGCCATGCTACTCAGGCTGGTTTCAAAATTCTAGGCTCAAGCAGTCCTCCCACTTTGGCCTTCCAAAGTACTGGGATTACAGGTGTGAGCCACTGTAATGGCCAGCCCTACTTTAAGTGTGATGTGACTCTCACCTCAATGAAACAAACACAATAGTGACCACCTGCTCAGTGCTGAGTCAGTTGGTACTGTGGGCCAGGGAGGGGAAGGCCCGTCCACCCCAGGAGCCTGACCATCATGGGGCAGTGCTGCAGAGCCCCCAGACATGGCATCCAGAACCCAGAAAGTGCAGTCCCTGCCCCTTCGCACCCACCTGCCTGGGGCTTCCTGCTCGTCCAGAACCATGCCCGATGTCACCTTACTCCACTCCAGCACCGGTGACCCCAGGCTCCCAGGGGCTTCCAGTCCCTAAAGCAAGTGGATAATGCAATCAGAGCCCCCCAGGCCAGAAGACCCCACTGCTTCCCATCTCTTGGCCTCAGAGCTGGGCCCTGGCCTCCAATGGGGGTCTCAAGCTGACTCCCCACAGGGTCTCCACTTCAGGAGCTGTGACAGAGGTCATGGGGTCCCTCAAGAGACCCATGGTACCTGGGGAGGCAGGCGTTCAGGGACTCCCTCGAATAGCTGAGTGGGAATTGAGCTCTGCCGGACCCCCACCCACCCAGGGGCAGAGGCACCTGGTATTTGAGCCCTGCATGGAGTCTCTCCAGGATAAAACACCCACAAACACCTTGGTTTTCTCTTTTTTTTTCTTTTTTGAGTTGAGGTCTCACTCTGTTGCCCAGGCTGGAGTGCAACGGCACTATCACGGCTCACCACAGCCTCAACCTCCTGGCTTGAAGGGATCCTCCCTCCTCAGCCTCCCAGGTAGCTGGGAGTACAGGAATAAGCCACTACACCCAGCTAATTTTTTGGGTTTTTCTGTAGAGACAAAGTCTTGCTATGTTGTCCAGGCTGGTCTTGAACTTCTGGGTTGAAGCAACCTCCTGGCCTCGGCCTCCCAAAGTGCTGGGATTACAGGCATGAACCACTATGCCCTGCCCAAGGTCTTGTTTTTCTAACACCAGTGGTCTGCAAGGCTGTTCAGACCCAGGGCCTGGCTGTCTCCCTCATCCACCCATTTTCCAGGGGATCTATGCCACGGGCTCAGTGGCTGAGCTGAGCCCCCCCACCCCCACCTCTGGCTCATACCCCAGACTGTGCATAACTGGGGACAAAGGTCACGATGCCAGGGGTGGCCTGGGAGACCACAGGGACTGCTTTGCCGCACACAGCCTCTCTCTGCTTCCTGTAGACCTCCTGCAGCCTCTGGTTCCTCCGCTCCTGCGCCTGCATGGCTGTGGCCTTCTCCTCCAAGGCCTGCTGCCTCCGGGCCTGGGCCTTCTGCCGCATGAACTCCCTCAGGGACTCGGGGCTGTGTAGGTGTCCCAGAGGTCTCCGAGGCCTTGGGCAGGGTGGCGGCCCATCCTCCTCCTTCATGGTTGGGCTCAGAGGGAAGCTCTGGGTGAGCCTCCGCCAGGCTTGCCGGGCTCCCGGGGACGGGAAGACGGCATCCTTGCCCTTGCTTGGGGCACCAGCCCTCTGCACAAAGGAGCTGCTCCGTGGTCTGGGAGCAGGAGCCTCCCTCTCGTCACAAGTCACCCAGGCCCTCTGTGGACAGGCCTGCCTCGCCAGGGCACTCCTGGGTCTCTGGGGCAAAGGGCCCAGCTTTTCGGGGGGGCTCTCAGGTCTCTGGAAGGAGGGGTCCCATCCTTGGGATGCCCGGGCCTTCTGTAGACAGGAGGTCTTCCCAGCAGAGGTGCCCCAAGACCTCTTTGAGAAAGAGTTCAACCTTTCAGGGGGGCTCTGGAAGGAGGGATCCTGTCCTGGGGCCGCCCAGGCCTCCTGTGGACAAGAGGTCTTCCCGGTGGAGGTGGTCCAAGGCCTCTTCGAGAAAGAGCTCAACCTTTCAGCGGGGCTCCTGGGTCTCTGGAAGAGGGGGTCCCTACCTGGGGCCACCCAGGCCTTCTGTGGGTGGGACTCCCACTTGGTCCTCGTGCTCCGGGGAGGCTGGGTGTGGAGGCTCCCAGCCCTCTCTTCAGGTGAGCATGTCCCCTCAGTCGTGACCCATGTCTTCTTCAAGAGGGAGTCCTGTGCATCTGGGACACTCCGGGGGCCCCTTCCTGCCTTGTCCTTCGGCCACAGCTTCGACAGGCCGAGCTCCTGCTTGCCCTTGGGACCCCAGGTCGACTCCAGACTGGCCTGGATTTGCTGGCGGAGTTCTCGGAGGATGGCCATGGCGCTTTGGACAGTCACTGGCTGGTCACAGGAAGCCAGGCTGGGCATGTCCTCGGGCACCTGCTGGCCACTGTGAGCAGAGATGGGACTGGGCGACCAGGCACGGTCAGGAGGGTGCTCGGCGGCTGCCATTTTCTTGCTGCCTCCTGCAAAGACAGGAGGCCACGGAGGATCAGGAAATGGGGGCGGGAAGGGAGGGTAAAAGCAGTTTTTTGTTGTTGTTTTTTTTGAGTTGGAGTCTCACTCTGTTGCCCAGACTGGAGTGCTCTCAGCCACCGCAGCCTTGACCTGCTGGGCTCCGGCGATCTTTCCACCTCAGCCTTCTAAGTAGCTGGAACTACAGGCGTGTGCTACCACGCCCAGCTAATTTTTTTGATTTATTGTAGAGATGAGGTATTGCCAAGTTGCCCAGGCAGGTCACGAAGGTAAAGGCAGTTTTTCCACCCAGCAGGGAGGCCGCAGGGGCAGCAGGGAGATCCCAGGACCCATCTCCTGATATTTCTCCTCTTGGCCTCTGCACTCAGAAGCCCACTTAGGGCAGGCACCGTGCCTGGGTGACGAGGCTGAGCCACCATTCTGGGACACAGAAACTGAGCACATGGGGAAGGTGGTAGCGTCTGCCAGGGAACCCCTACTGGTGCCTGTCCTGCAATCCTGTCATCCAGAAAGCCCCAGTGGTGTGCCCTGCCTGGAGGCTGGCATGGAAGCTCTCTCAGAAACAGAAGTCCATTTCCGAGCCTTTTACAAAACTTATTTCCGGCCAGGCATGGTGGTTTATGCCTGTTATCCCAGCATTTTGGGAGACTGAGGTAGGAAGATTGCTTGAGGCCAGGGGTTTGAGACTAGCTTGGACCACATAGCGAGACTTTATCACTCCAAAAACATTTTAAAAATTAGCTAGGTGTGGTGACATATGCCTGTAGTTCCAGCTACTCAGGAGGCTGAGGAGGGAGCATCGCCTGAGCCCAGGAGGTTGAGGCTGTGGTGAGCTGTGATCGTGCCACTGCATTCCAGCCTGGTCGACAGAGTGAGACCCCGACTTTAAAAAAATATTTATAGCCGGGCTCGGTGGCTCAGCCTGTAATCCCACGTCTTTGGGAGGCTGAGGTGAGTGGATTGCCTGAGCCCGCGGGTTCGAGACCCGCCTGGGCAGCGAGACCTCATCTCTACAATAAATCAAAAAATCAGCTGGGCATGGTAGCGTATGCCTGTAATTCCGGCTACTTGGAAGGCTGAGGCGGAAGGATCGCCGGAGCCCAGCAGGTCGGGGCTGCGGTGACCGGAAGCGGCCACTGCACTCCAGTCTGGGCGACAGAGTGAGACTCCAACTCAAAAAATATATATATTTATTTCCCCAAGTCCTCTGCTGATGGGAGATGTGGCCAGCACCCCCTCCTTGCAGATGGCCTGGAGACCGGGGTCTCCTCTCCTCCTCCATGCCACCCCCCAGATGCCACAGCAAAGCAGGACAGAGCCCATGGTGGCAGCACGAGGTACCTAACTCCACGGTGCGAGCTGGGTCTCTCGAGGGCGCCATGCTCTGGAACTTGAGAAGGGTGTGAGGGGGACCAAGCAGTGCCCTCGCCAGAGCTTGACCTCTTCTCCAGGAGGAAACACCAACTGACTCAGAATCTTAAACACAGAGAACACGTGCGCACAGCCAGGGCACCGTGGCCTTGAACACTGGCCCCAGTGGAAGGAACTTGGGAAAGACCCCTCTTGTGCAGGCCCTCATGGGGGCAGAGCTGGACCCCCAGCCAGCAGCCAGCACGGGGCAAGGCTGAGTCTCAGCATGACCATGAACGAGTGACTTCTCTGGCCCTCAGAATCCCCTTCAGTAGCAAAGGAAGGTATACCCTATTCCGGCAGCCTTGTCCGGAAGGCACTTCCACAGGCCCAGGCATACAGCCTGGGCTTGAGGGACACAGGCCAGTCACAACAGCAGGTACCAAGGGTGAGCTGGCATCCTGCTCTCACTCACCCCGGGGCCCTGCATGGGGAACAGGCCGTCACAGCATCACTCAAGTGCGCTGAGCTGGAGGAGATTAATCTGTGTTTAAACCTATGAGAAGTAACCACGACGGGGTGGGATCAATGGAGATGCCCAGGCTGGCAGGACAGGGGTACTGCTCTTGCAGAAACAGATGATCTGCCACAGCCCAGGCTCGCTTCAGTAATGGTTGTCACACAATACACACTGTTCACACAGCACACACCATTCATCAAGGTGTTACTTCATAATCCCAGGTTACACCTGCCAAACGCCAGTGCCGGCCCCACCCCTTCACCAAGCCATCCACAGGGCTGGATGTGGCTCACACACTCACACATACATCAGGGCACTCACATGCTCACACACTCACGTGCTCACACTCTCATACAGGCACTCACATGCTCACACACACACTCATGCACATGCTCACATTCACACACACAGGCATTCACATACACACACAGACTCAAACATAGGCTCGTGCACACACAGAGGCACTCACATGCTGACACACACACACGCTCACACACACAGGCATTCATGCTCATACACACTCATAGAGACACACACACATTCATATACACACATACACACTCATACACATACTCACACACTCATGCACACACTCACACATATATTCATAATGCACTCAAATGCTCACACACATACACACACACTCATACACAATCACTCTCCCACACACTCATACAAGCATTCACACACAAACACACACACTCATACAGGCACTCACACTTACACACTCACACACATACACTCATACACTTACATATACACTCATACAAGCATATACACACTCACACATACTCATATGGCAGTCACACACACATTCATACAAGCACTCACCCTCTCATGCACACACCTTTTCACACTCACACTCACATGCTGTCCTAAACATCCTCTCACACACTCATACTCTCTCACATACTTGGACACACTCTCACGCTCACACTCACATGCTCACGCACACTCTCACACTGCCCAGTCCCAATGGCTCGGCAAGGCCAGGACCACCCTGCTGGGGACCCCGGGACCCTCCTGTGCACTTCCTCTGGGCCAGCCTAGGGTGGTCCCCCATGTGGCCTGGGGTCAAGACCACCATGTGGTCTCAGCTTAGACTTGCCCTGCCCCCATGGAGGGGGATTTCTGTCAGATGCACGTGTCCTACAAATGCAGGATCCATGCACAGAGGTGACCAGGCAGGGTCAAGGACTTCCCTAGCACCCCAAGACATGGCCCCTACCCAGACTACCCTGACCCCCGTCATCAGCCAGGGGCCTGAAGCTGCCTCTCAGGAAGGGAATGGGCTACACAGTCAAGCCCTCCAGGGTATGACCTCCCAAAGCCATGCCCCTTCCAGGATAGAACTCTCAAGACCTCGCCTCATGGCCATACCCACCTTCGGAAAGGAACTCCCCCCCAGTCCCAGGGCACAGCCTCTCAAAGCAACACCCCCTCCAGGACAGGACCCCTAAGGTCAGGCCTCAAGGTCACATCTCTCTAGGCCAGGCCTCACTAAAACAGGACACAAAGTCAGGCCCTTCTAGACCCAAGATAAGATCCTAAGGCCACATGCATCTAGGATAGGATTCTAAATCCTCACCCTATGGCCACGCCCGCTTTAGGGCAGTACTCCTCCCAAGCCATACCCCTTTCTGATAGGAACCCCCCAAGGCCAGCTTCCTTCAGGATGGGATCCCAAGGCCATGCCTTTCTAAACTAGGATTCTAAGTCCTCATCTCCATGGTCATACCGTCTCTAGGACAGAACCCCAAGACCCCAGAAGGTTAAGGGTATGGTCTCAGGAGTCCCAGATCTGAGTTTAAGTTCAGCTCTGCCATTCAGCTCTGCCCAGTTTGTACCTTGGGCAAGTGACTTAACTTCTCTGTGCCTCAGTTTCCCTATCTGTAAAATGGGGAGCACTGAACCATGGGGTTTTGGGGACTGAGTTCTGCTTTGTGGAACCCTTAATCTAAGTGTAAACAGAGCCAATGCCTGGGATGCAGCTTGTGAGCTGCTCCTGCAAATCTCTGTGCCTTAGTTTCAGTACCTCCCCACGGGCCACCAACACAAAAGAGTAGTCACTGTCATGACAGGAGTTGGGCCCAGAAAGGGGCCAGGATTCTGCTGGCTCAGGGTGGAGTCAAAGGCCAGAGCTGAAGCTGGTGGGACCCAACTGGCCACATCTGGGTTTCCAGTGGGACCCGGGGTGGGGGAGGTCCATCGGGGTAGGGGTCACAGCAAGATATCTCCATCCCAGCCCCTAAACCTGCTCTACTGCAGAAAACTGACCACTCTCCCTCGCAGGGCGTGGGGCCAGAGACCCCGACTTGGGGAGGGGGCTGCCCACCCCCAGAACCCCCCCACTGCCGGCCACACAGCTTCCCCATTAGCCTGCCAGAGAGTCCCAGTCGATAAATGGGTCCTGATGGGCACATTTTTTCTTCTGCCGAGCAGTTTAATGGCAATTAATTTTTTTACGAGAGGATTTTTAATCTGTGGAAATGGATGAAGTTCCCAAGTGCCCTGTCAAAGTTCCGGGGCCGACCTAATCTATGATAAAAAATGCAAAGTGGGGGGACATAATCTGAAATTAAACATCGAGCTTCATTTTCCTTCGGCCCGGATGGATGAATATTTTATAACTATTGTGATTTAATTTTTTGTTAACTACAGCAAATTTCTAATTCATCCAATTCCCAAGTCCTGTGGCTCTGACCTCTGCACCCGAACTCATCTCTCCTTAGCCCAGCTGTGACTTCGTCACTGACAGAAACTAATGGTCAACACCGTCAGGGTGACACAGTGGTTACAATGATGAATGCAGCCCATGGCACGCCCTCTGACCTGGTGTCAGGCAGAGAGCAGGTCATTTTTCAAGTGAGCTGTTAAAATAAAACAAACTAAAAATCTGGGGGAGGGAGGAGATGGTGATGCAGAAAATTGTTATATTTTATGCATTTGCAGTGGGCCTTCTGGAACCTTCCTGGTGCCCCAGTGAGCACCCCATGTTATAGGCATGCCCCCCACTGAACATGGGCACGGAGATTATTTTTTGTTTTTGTTTTCTGAGTCAGGGTCTCACTCTGTCGTCCAGGCTAGAATACAGTGGTAGCATCACGGCTCACTGTAGCCTCAACTTCCCAGGCTCCCAAGTAGCTGGGATTCCAGGCCCTTGTCACCACACCTGGCTGATTTTTTTTTTTTTTTTATTTTGTCAAGACAAGGTCTTGCTATGTTGCCCAGTCTGGTCTCAAACTCCTGAGCTCAAGCAATCCTCCCATCTCGGCCACCCAAAATGTTGGGATGACAGACGTAAGGCACTGCATCTGGCAGAGGAAGATATTTATTCTTTCTGCTGAAAGTCACGGCTTTTCCTAAGGGAGGGTGTCTGGCAGCTCTGGACAGAAACTCGGGCACCTGGGCATGGACGCAGCACACGCTACACAGTTCGACTCCTGGAAGCCCCACCACTGTGATCTCATGCAGTGCAGGGACACTAAGGCACAGAGATTTGCAGGAGCAGCTCACAAGCTGCATCCCAGGCATTGGCTCTGCTTCCACTTAGATTAAGGGTTCCACAAAGCAGACCTCAGTCCCCAAAACCCCATGGTTCAGTGGACCCCAAACCCAGGCCTGGAGGGTGGGCCTTGACAAGGAGCACAGGCCTCGAGCTGGACAGGTCAGGGCCCAAGCCTGGCTCCGCCTGTGTGACCCTGGGAGGCATCAAACCTCCCTGAGACCCAGTTTTCTCATCTGCAAAGTGGGAGCAACCCCTGCCACCTGTGAGGATGAAGTAAATAGATGCCCACAGGATGTGAGGGACTCACAGAGCCAGGTACTGAGGGTGCCTCTCCCCCAACCCTGGAGACCTTCTCAGGGAAAGCTCAGAGGGACCCTGTCTTCCTCCTTCCTGCCGTTCTCCACACCCACATCCAGCCCTTTCTTGGGCTTGAGGGATCCAGCTAGAGGGTGAGGACGCCTCTTGGGTTCATCCCACAAGCTCTGAAGACTGTGCCCAAGCTGGATGGCTGGGTCTTTGCAGGGCTTGCCCTGCCCAGTCCTCAGGGAGGAGACACCTGGAGGAGAAACTCCTCTGTAACTGCCGGTGACCCACCTTTAGGGTCTCTTAAGTGAATTTTTAGGACACGTCTACAAAATTAACCAGCACATGAATGCCCGGCAGACTTGCACCCCAGGATGATTGTCCTGAATCCCTGAGCTATTGGAAAGAGCAGCATCTATTCAAGGTCTTTCCTACCACCTAATGAAAGTGACATCCTGGGCTTGCTGCCTGGAATTTTAAATACCAGATTAGGGCCGGGCTTGGTGGCTCAGCCTGTAATCCCACGTCTTTGGGAGGCTGAGGTGAGTGGATTGCCTGAGCCCATGGGCTCGAGACCCGCCTGGGCA